AAACATGAAAAAATTTATAGAATAAGCGCATATAAGAACACTAACCGGTTGGAGAGAACAATTTTTTGTTATGTTGTAGAAGATTGAAGTGATAGTCATAAATGTGTAGATTCTCGAAGGATACAAGCGGATTTCGTTGATTAAACGATTTTCATTGGGTTTCTTAATATAGGTGTTTTTGAGACCTTTGGGAAGAAACATTGTTTTCCCTCTTAGTGGCAAGAATGGAACGAACAAATGTTTATCTTGTATCTAAGAGAAATCCATTTGATACCTTAGGAATTATTTAATGTTAAAACATACTCATCATATGTTAACTATAGATAAATATAGAGATCAAATCTGCCATATGATAAATTTAAGACAAATTACTGTTAAAATTACTTAATTATTGTTGAAATTACTAAATAGGAGTATATATTATTTATTCCCTAAATAGGACTTTTTTTCCAAATTTAGCCTCCCTTTAATTTAATTGCCTTCAAATCGTGTGACCCAGCAGTCCAGCTTCTTCTCCCGTTCTTTTCTACAATTGTACCGGCCCTGTTCATCTTCTCAACAAGGATCTTCAATGTGAGGCAGCAGTGGCGACCTTCGAGGTGAGGCAGCAGCGGCGACCTTCAAGGTGAGGCAGCAGCGGCGACTTTCGAGGTGAGGCAGCGGCAACGATCAACGGTGGTGAGCAAAAGGAACCGGCGGCGAGAAAAGACGGAGCATCCACGAGTCATGAGTTCAGATCTAGTGGCCATGGTGGCCGAGTTGAAGTAGCTCGTATTTCTCCCCTCTTCTTCTGTCATCTTTTTCTTCTTCCTTCATTGCAGATCTTGTTTTGTGTTTCATCGCAGATCTCGTTCAAATTTTGTTTTAGAATGCCATTAATATCGCAAAATTGCTCTTCAAAAATGCCATCTTTTGCTTTGAAAATGCCATTAAATTGGCATTCTGGGTTCATGTTGGCATTCAGATCAAAATGATGGCATTAGAGTCTAGCCACCGACTAGATCTGCGACAGTAAAGGCCGGATCTGCAGCCGCGGAGTCCGGATCTGCATCGGCGGCAGCTGCATCTGAAGGGGCGGCCGACATGTGGCGGCAGCTAGATTTGGCTAGATCTGCGACGGCGACGGTCAGATCTGCAGTGGCGGTGGTGAGATCTGCAGCGGCGGTCAATTTTGAGGTGGTCGGCGATGGCCGGCGGTGGTACAACGGCGGTGTGGCATGCTACCGGTGACCATGTGTTTTCTTATCTTCAAGGGTGTTTCTGTCCAACTATAAATAATAACTCGTATTTAGGCAATTTTTTGAAAATTAATAAGGAAAGAAATTATTATTATCGAAATATTTTTATTAATGTTTTAGTTTTTTTTAAGAATTTTTATTATTTTTTATTATTTTATTATGAATCAAAACATTTCAATAGCTATAAGGGTATATTTGTCCAAGACACACATAAATAATCCTATGAAAAAATAGTTTATTTTTGGTCCTATTTGTGCAAAGTGATCGACTTTTAGTCCTATTTTGATAATTAACCCTTAAATATTCTCGTCTATCATAGAAGGACGGAAGTGCAAACTTTTTTTCTTGAATTGAATGTGTGGTAAGTATATTTCTTATCCACATGTCAATTACTTATTTGACCACATAAGCATGCTATTTCCCACAACCAAATTTGTGTAATCGTGTGTTACTGTTCACGCGGGTGAACAGTAATTTTTTTCATTCTCCAGTAACAAAATGATGTAACTCGCGTGAAATGAAATGTAACTCACGTTGATAAGAAATGTAACTGCAGGCAAATGGAAATGTAACTTGTCTAATACAGATTATAAAAAATAAATCATTGATTTCAATGAAAACAAGGAGTCTAATTACTCAATTACTTTACGCAAAGAATGAATATGTTTTTTTTATATTAAGGCCATAAATAATCTTTTTTCTTAAAATCCTTTTTTTTTGCCAAAAACAAATATTTTTTTACCACAAAAATCATGTTTTTTGCAAAAATAGTGATTTTTTTTCAATAATAGGGGCTTCCTTAAATAGTGAATATGTTCTATTTTTAATATTAAGGCCATAAAATGATTTTTTAATCAGTTGTTTTGCCAAATAAATCAATTTTTTTGGCCAAACAGTTTTTTTTTTTTGCAAAAACATGCTTCTTTTGTTTCAATAACAGGACTTTATGTTGTGTTGGAACTCGTGTTATGCAAAATGTAACTCGCGTTGATGGAAAATCCAATTTAGGTTTATGCAAAAGGTAACTTGTTAATGCATGTCTAAATGTAACTCGCGTATAAGAAGATGTAACCCACACATAAAAAAATATAACTCGCAAACAAGAAGATGTAACTTCATCATATACAATCAATGCAAACAATTAAAATAAGGAGTCTAATTGCTCGAATTAATTTTTATAAATAGTTAATATGTTTTGTTTTTAGTATTAAGGCCATAAAAATGTTTGAAAGAATTTTTTTTGCCAATTTTTTTTTAAGCCAAAAAAATCATTTTTTGCCAAAAAACTCATTTTTGTTTGCAAAAATTGCTTTTTTTTGTCCAATAGTTGGAGTTTATTTTGTAATGTAACTCGTGTTATGAAAAAATGTAATACGCGTTGATGGAAAATCTAACTTAGGTGTACGCAAAGTGTAACTTGTTGAGACAAGTCCAAATATAACTCGAACATAGGAAGATGTAACGTACTCATGCATAAGAAGATGTAACTCGCCCATAAGAAGATGTAACTCTATATCTCATCAAATGTAATTCCAAAAATTGTCAATAAACATAACTCACTCATATGAAAAATGTAATATAATTCCATTTTTATGAAATTTAAATCGAAATAAACATTTTAATGACTTAAAAACACTAAAAACATATCAAATAGATAAGAAATATGGAGTATTTTTTTTTTGCAAAGAGATAAGAAATATATTATAAAGAATTATGAAATCGACATATAAAAAATATTACAAAAAATATATATTCTATTGCAATTTCAGTTGAAGATAAAAAAAGTAGAATAAGTGCATGATTATGAAATAAAAATATACTTTTTTTGGATTAATGAAATTTTGTAATGATTTGGTAATGAAAAATGTGTATGAAATCCAATATACTAATTTTATTTAGATTGATGAACTTTTTGTCATGTATTAATAAAAATAAAAAAATAGATTCAATTATAATTTAAGTTGAAGATAAAAGAAAGTAAAACTACAATTAAATTTTTAGTATTTTAATTTGATGGAAAAGGAGAAGAATTGAAAAAAGAAAAATAAAAAAACAAAAGCAAAAGAAAAGAACGAATGTTGCTCGAGGAAGAATGAAAAAAGAAATCAATTGACTAAAGTGGGATCGGCACATCATGCGGAGGGTGGGCCGATCCCACGGTATAATTTGCCCAACAAATAATATGGGCACCGTAGAAAATACCAAAAAGGTTTTCGGTAGAATTCAACAACTTGTGTAGTTGACTCCGAAAATTTGTTGAATTCTCGATCTGGTTTTCACACGAAAAAGGTTGAGACCGGCGAAAATTATTGAATCATTCAGGAAGATTGAAAACTTTGGATTTTATCAATGTTAGCGAGAATTAAAATGCTTTGATACCAAATCTTAAAAAATTCAGCCCCAAATAAGGAAATAGTCTCACCAAACATGAAAAAATTTATAGAATAAGCGCATATAAGAACACTAACCGGTTGGAGAGAACAATTTTTTGTTATGTTGTAGAAGATTGAAGTGATAGTCATAAATGTGTAGATTCTCGAATAAAACAAGCGGATTTTGTTGATTAAATGATTTTCATTGGGTTTCTTAATATAGGTGTTTTTGAGATCTTTGGGAAGAAACATTGTTTTCCCTCTTAGTGGCAAGAATGGAACGAACAAATGTTTATCTTGTATCTAAAAGAAATCCATTTGATACCTTAGGAATTATTTAATGTTAAAACATACTCATCATATGTTAACTATAGATAAATATAGAGATCAAATCTGCCATATGATAAATTTAAGACAAATTACTGTTAAAATTACTTAATTATTGTTGAAATTACTAAATAGGAGTATATATTATTTATTCCCTAAATAGGACTTTTTTTCCAAATTTAGCCTCCCTTTAATTTAATTGCCTTCAAATCGTGTGACCCAGCAGTCCAGCTTCTTCTCCCGTTCTTTTCTACATTTGCACCGGCCCTGTTCATCTTCTCAACAAGGATCTTCAATGTGAGGCAGCAGTGGCGACCTTCGAGGTGAGGCAGCAGTGGCGACCTTGAAGGTGAGGCAGCAGCGGCGACTTTCGAGGTGAGGCAGCGGCAACGAGCAACGATCAACGGTGGTGAGCAAAAGGAACCAGCGGCGAGAAAAGACGGAGCATCCACGAGTCATGAATTCAGATCTAGTGGCCATGGTGGCCGAGTTGAAGTAGCTCGTTTTTCTCCCTTCTTCTTCTGTCATCTTTTTCTTCTTCCTTCATTGCAGATCTTGTTTTGTGTTTCATTGCAGATCTCGTTCAAATTTTGTTTTAGAATGCCATTAAAATCGCAAAATTGCTCTTCAAAAATGTCATCTTTTGCTTTGAAAATGCCATTAAATTGGCATTCTGGGTTCATGTTGGCATTCAGATCAAAATAATGGCATTAGAGTAGCCACCGACTAGATCTGCGATAGCAGAGGCCAGATCTTTAACCGCGGAGTCCGGATCTGCATCAGCGGCAGCTGCATCTGAAGGGGCGGCCGGCATGTGGCGGCAGCAAGATTTGACTAGATCTATGACGGTGACGATCAGATCTGCAGTGGCGGTGGTGAGATCTGCAGCGGCGGTCAATTTTGAGATGGTCGGCGAAGGCCGGCGGTGGTACAACGGCGGTGTGGCATGATACCGGTGACCATGTGTTTTCTTATCTTCAAGGGTGTTTCTGTCCAACTATAAATAATAACTTCTATTTAGGCAAATTTAGACTTAAGTCCTATTTTGTCAATTAAAGATTGATTAAATGGTAAGACATACATTTCCACAAAATATATTAAATTATATAAATGGTCCAAAAATACTTAAATCGAAATATTTCTAACAGCCCTCACTGTAGAGATCTAAAGCAAAACACCATGGATGGGGATGGATTTGGTAGGCACATGGCTTTTCTTCTTGACTTCTTCGTCCTTGTTGCCAATAGATCTGCGAGAGCACTCTAGTGCGGCGGGGGAATAATTTCCGATAAGATAAGGATGGGGTGTTTTGTTATTGATTGAAAAGTACGGTACATATTAGAGTTTATTGGTAGTCTAAGAAAAGGATGGGATAATAGAAGCCTAATTCTCTACTTATTTTTAAAATCTAAAATGGCGAAAATGGTTTGAACGACGGTGAGGACGAGGAGAAAAATGGCAGCGATGAGGGAGATGAAGGACCAAGGGGAGCTGAAGTATTTGTGCTTGACCTCGGCCAAATGGATGTGCAAATTGTTGTCGTAGTGGGCGTTCACGCCGGCATACACTTCACTCAAGTAGGTCTCTTCGAAACTACTGATCGTCACCGCCTTGGAGAGCTTGCCCACAAAGGCGGCGACCTCATCTTTCGTCGCCAAACAGTTCTGTAAGACCTTGGCCTCGCACAGAATGTCCACGTCCTTGTGGGTGTCTATGAGGCAGTCCAGAAACACCGCGTACTCGGACACGAGCTTGTCACTCTCCCCGTGGCACTGCTCGAACGCCACGCAGTTCAGCAAGAAGGCGCACCTCGTGTCGTCCAGAATCAGCAGTGGCATCCGGATCACCCCCCGCTTGAATTCCACCCTCAGGAAACTGCTCTCATCTTCCTTCAGCTTCAGCTTGATCCCGGATCGCCGCAGCTTGGTGATGCAATGGATGTTGCCTGCTTCACCGGCGGTCCTCTGGAAACAGTTCAAACGTGACAGCCCTTTTACGGCGCGCTCCAGCTCGGCTCCGGCTCCGCTCAGCAGCATCGAGAGGCAATGGGGTTTGTAGGAGCTAGATCCCGGCACCGGGATTAAACTCTTCCGGACTAAATTAAGTAGATGCAGGGCTTCAAAATCCTGGGGTGTTTCCACTTTATCCGATATTCCAAAGAAATTGAGGGCCATGCCGTCTAAAGAAGTGGGGCCGCCATCGAACAACCTATTGGTGTCTATTTCAGTAAGTTCGAACAATCTCTGGAGCACGATGTATGGTATCTGGTTCTCGAGGCAGAGGAGGTCGTCTCGGATACTACATCCTATCCATTGCATAGTACGAAATGGATCGTCATTCTCAAAGGGATACATCCCGCTGAATGACCGGAAAAATTCAACCACAAAGCAGCCATCAAGAACCAACATCTCCACAAACTTATCATCGCCTTTGAGAGTAGTGATAGCCTCAGAATAGCATTCTCTGGCTTCTTCTTCTAATCCTCTCACAACTTTAATGTACTCCTCTAATCCCACACCTTTTTTCTCCCTTGTCCTCTTTACCACTCTCTCCAAGAACCTCCACTTGTGCTCCTGCATCATCTTCAGATGCCGCTTCCCGTGGTGGTATGGACCGATTGAGACTGCGCGGGGCTGATGCGGTCGGGTGTTGGCTTTCCAACCGCTGCTGAAGAAGTGCCCGGGTGCCCGGAAAATGCAGCATTTGTTTCTGCCGGCCGATTTGGTGAGTAATTTCGGCGATTCCGACAGCTTACCTTGCATCACTCCGATGAGTTTGTCTACATCCACTTGCACATTGTTTCTCATTATGAGTCTTTCAGCCTCTTCATTCCTGGGCTGCTTTCCTCCGGAGTTTCTCCCATCCATGTTTGGTTCAAATTGAGGCCTGCCCGGATGGGTAATACTCCAAACTACTGTTTTTAAGTTGTACTCCGCAGCCGTTAACAAAGCTGGTGGGAAATTTGAACCAAATGACTAAGGTTCGAAACCCGTAACGACTGTGCAGAGGTTACAATCACCGTGATTAACGTCCTCCTAAAAATCCTATCGAGTCGGGGTACGAGAACTCTTGGGGTGTAGGAGATTCCACCTTTTCAACCAAACAAAGCTGGTCCCTAGCTAGGGGCAGGAAACATCATAATCGCACGTACTTCGTCCTTGTTACATGCTTGAACAGCAGTATAGACTGTATAGTACACTCCCTTAGCTTGGACCAAGTACACTCCCTTAGCTGTTTCCACGTAAAGTGGCCTTACTTTTTTTGCAGGACATGAGTTTGGTTGAATGCCGGACCCCAGGGCCCGTATTCCGACTTGACAGGATGGTGGGGAGGTTAATTACAGTGACTCAATCAGCAAAGCGGTGGTAGACCTTATACATGTGCGCACCAGAGATTCAGCCTTATTTCAGGTTCTATAACCTCCACACGGCCACTGCGGGTTTCGAACCTTGGTCATTTGGTCCAATTTTCTCACCACTCGATCAACTGAGCTACCCGTGCGGGTTGCAGGACATGAGTTAGATGACATGATATAAGTTGAATTTTAATCACAAACTGATAGATAAATAGTGAGATTGAGACTTTATGCATTTTTGGCATAGTAACCTCTCATCATATATAGTTGATGGATTTCGAACTCGAAACTTAACCCTTGTGACATCCCTATCTACGGGTTGCTTTACTTTTTTTGTAACTTTGAACTGGAATAGCCTTAAATTTTGTTTGTGATGGATTGAGTAATTTACTTCTCTATGCTCAATTATTGAAACGCCAAAATACAAACATGGCTGGAACTTGCCCTTCACCGATATGAGAACTATTTATCCCTTCTTATTATTGTAGTTGAAATTGCTAGCAGTTTTGATATCACAATTTGAACTCCCATATGTGCAATTCATTTTCTGCTAATGGTTTGTTAGCAGTTATACGTATTGTACCCGTGCTAGTGTTCTTTATCACAAAACAAAATTATTCTTACATTTGTCAATGTTCTTTTACCAATTAAAATGCTTATGTGTGATCTAAGGAATTTTTAAATGTACTTATCATGTAATAAAATGGAACATGTAAAGCTAGTAATCCATTTGGAAACTATACAGTTTTTATTATAAGAGTTGTTAAAGAAGTCTTAGCATTTGGAGGATGATCCTTATTTCCAAAAAGTACAAACACTTTTGGAAATTGGTTTTGGAAAATATATGTTTGGCATTAGTTTTGAAAAAATACTCATGGATATTGGAGTAGAAATTAAAGAGGCTATTGACGGAGGAGAGAAGCTAGCGGGGGCTTTAAAAAGAAATATGAGGGGCACATTCAAATTATAAACCCCAATTTTATTTAAAGTATTATAACTTTTTTATCATTATTCCATTTTTTATAAATGATATATCAAAATTCATAATTTTTAAAACTCACATATATAAATTTAAAAAGTTACATTTAACTGTTGGGGGGTATTTTAACTCAAATTTTTTCTTAAATATATTTTTTAAGAAAATTAAGATATATTTCAGATTTTTTTTATTAAAATAACTTTTAAGTGCTAAGATTAAGATCTGCTGACTAAAATATTTTTTAACATCTTTAAATTTTTTTCCTCAATTTTACTTTTTTTTTACATCAGAATGTTTGACTTTTTAAATCATAATCATTTTTAAAAAGAAAAATGGAAAAAATTGATGCATAATAATAAAAGTAAGGTTTTTTTAAAAAATAATAATAATTATATTTTTTTCCTTTTTAAAAAATTTTTTTTTTTAAAAAAAAATAAAAAACGTAAAAAAAAATCACCGCCGCCTCTACCGCCCCAACACCACCACCTCCGGTTATCGGGGGGGGAAAATGCCACATCCATTACGAATGCCATATTTATGGCAGATCAAGTGAAAATTGTGGCATTCTGAAAGGGTAATATGCCATTTTTTTGGCATTTTAAGAAAAAACGGCAGTTGTTAGGAAATATGACATTTTTTACACCGGTCGTGGTGCAGGGAGGTAGTACAAGTGGTGAGAAAGGCATCCCTAATTTTTTAATATTTTATGGATTTTACCTATATTTTTAATTTAAAAATATTGATTTTTTATTTTATAAACATTTTATTAATTTTTTATTATTTTTCTACGATTTTTATTATTTTTTACGAATTTATATGAATTAAAACATTTAATTATAACTTTTGACTACCTTTTACTCATATTTAAAGGAGGGGAAAGATTGGAATGAAAAAATAGGTATGTTTCCAATAGAACTAGTAGTAACAAGTTTTATTTTGGGTTTTTGCAAGAATTTTAGTCCTATTTTAAATAATTTCTGTATATTACACTTCTACTTCAAATAGATATGGATTATGAAAGAAAAACAAAGTAAAGTCCAAATAAAATATTTTGTGTAACACGAATCGCTATTCCCTGCCATAATTTGCCTCATCAATATTTCCTTCCTCATCATCAAGATTGAGTGTCATCTTCATCGGGGGAGTGTAAGATGTTCACCTGATCTTGAACCCCATTCTCTTTTCACTCTATTTACACCTTCCCAACTCAATTTATATTCAGGTCCATTTGATAACATTTTTTCGATAAAACAGATAATTTTAATTTTACATATTTACGAGTAACACACTCGGATATGAGTTCAGTTTCATGAAGGGTACATGTATGAAAAACATGCCGCAAAATGAATATAGCACGCACCGGATGTAGATCATGATCTTACAGTGACATCAAATTAGTGTCACTAACATACTTTTGTGACACTAAAAAAGTGTCGCTGAAGGTGGGTGCTAGTGAAACTAAAAAAATGTCACTAAAAGTGTCACTAAATTATGACACTATAGTATCACCAATTAGTGATACATATGCGACACAACCGTTCAATGACGCTTTTGCATCACATATGCTAATGACACCCTCGTATCACATTTTTTTTTCATCCAAGCAAAATGATAAGTTAGTGACACTTTGATATCATTTTGTTTTTGTATTGTTTCATCATTCCAAAACAATATAATTTTGAAATTCCAAAATAATTATATTTTAGAAATTCCAATTCAATATTCAGTAAACTCATAAACAATAACAAAATCAATAGATCTCAAACTATAGATTGAACACTTAAAGTAGAATATTCATTTCAAACTCAAGTCTATATTGTTGTTGAAGTTTGCATTCTAAGCAACTACACAATTTAGTCCCAAAAAGTGAGCCACCTACAGGTCCTACATCACTTCGTAAGTACACATCGCTTTTACATCATCAAATCTCCATAGCAGCATCATTCATCAACTACTCATACACTCAATTAATGATACAATTATAAAAACTACTCAACATTGAAAGCCCAAATTCAAGCAGCTCCTCCAAAATTTATTATTCTAAAGGCAATTATTCCCAAGACAAATATGAGTATATCAATAATAGATTCAGAAAATCCTAATACCAAGGAATCAAATAGATTCCCCATAGTGTTTATGAAACACAAACATAGATTCCCATAGTGATCAATAGTAGATTCAGAAAAGCCTAATAGATTCAGAAAAGCCTAATAGATTCCATGTTTATGAAACAGAAACACCTGAAATATGAAACTTACTTGTGGATGAATAGATATAACAAAGATAGTCCACAATTCACAAATAATTGAAGAAACAGTTGCCAGAAAGTCCAGTTCCTGTGAATTGATTTTAATGTCATACATGTAATAAAACTTAAAAACTCAAAAGAAGCATTTAAAAAAATGTGTGAACTGTTTCCTCAAGCCAAGATAATGACTCCATCGAAAATCAGTTCATTCAAAGCTTCATCTAGTTGTATCCAAGCCAAGATAATGACTCCATCAAACACTAAGTTCAGCCTCACCTACCATATCCGGGTGACCAAACTGTAATCATCAATAATGTGTTCATGATTGATAAACTAAATATTAAAGAGCTACATACTGAAAACTAAGAATTAAATCAACAACCAAAACAAATGATATCTTGAGTCCCCCATCAAGAGACCTTACCATTTCAAACCCAAAGTTCCCATCAATGAGAAACAATGCTAGGACCTTACCATTTCAAAGCCAAAGTTCACGGGAGAGTGTAGACCTAGGTTAAGGGGATTAAGGGTTGGGTCAATTAAGGGTTTGAGATTTACAAAATATGGGCTTATCAGATTTACAAATACAAACTTTAAAAATTTAGAAAAATAGAGAATACCTGTAGAGGAAAGGAACCACACCTATTAAGACAAATAGATCAGAATACCCATAAAGGAAAGGAAGGAACCACCTAACTTACCACTCATGAGTATAGACAAATTTAAGCTAGAGGAGAAAGGACTTACGGTGGAAAGTTGCAGAAGGGTTAAGACGAGTTGTGGTGCTAGTTAGTAGAATTCCTTTTTTATTACAGTTGACCACCTAAAGTTAATGTTTTCCAAGTATAAAATAAGCAAATTGTTATTTAGAAGTATTTGGATGTCCTCAAAAGTATGACCTGGACAAAAAAAGTTAGCATTTGGGTGTTCTCAGAAGTATTTTCATCACTGGACAAGATTAGGACAGGTGTAATAACTGCAAAGTCAAACATTGGATCAGAGAGGATCTCATCATTTCCATTTCGGGCCTTAGACAGATTTTCTAGCATCATAGGCGACCAAGTGATGAGTTCCTCCGGTTACCACCGCATGGAGGGTGGCCATCGGGGTTTCATAAAAAGTTATTGGGTGTTGGATAGTAACCTTAGCATAATTAATAGCATCAATTGGACTAAAATCAGAACTCACTGGGTGTCGGACAGAATTAGTAGCATGAATTGGGGCCTCAGAGTAGACTCTTGCCAACATAGTGGTACTAGAATCCTTATTTTCAGCACTAATTAAATCAATTTCGTTAGCACCAGTAGATGCGTCAGCAAAATTTAAAGCAACATCGTTAATAGAAACTGCATGCACCTCTAAAGTATTAGGAGGAGCCTTGAAATGTAAAGTTGGGTTATCAATTGAGTAGACAGTATGGTCTTGCAAAGGGGCCAAATCAGTGTGATTGGAACCTGTTAAAACATTCTCCAAAATATCAGAAACATTGGAACCCGGCTGCATAGTAAGCATAATTTCCAACGCATCTTGTGGGCCTTTGGGACGAGAATCAACTGTAACAGGGAGGAACATTAGCAGCATGAGTGTCAATAACTGGGGCATTGCAATTAGCTACAACCATGTTTGGTAGCAATCCAATTAAAACATGGGTCAAATCAGTGGGAATGGAACATGTTAAAACAGTTTCCAAATCATCAAAAGCATTGGTACCTATGAAACCTTGGGAAGACAATCAGTGGTATCAGTAACAGGGGCATCACTAGCAATATCAGCTGCAACATGGGAGACACTAGCAATATCAGCTGCAGCATGATTACCAATAGCAGGGTCACTGCAGTTAGCAACCACCACCTTCAGCATCAAATCTTTGGTGGCCCTGGGGCATTCCCTATCAAAGTGACCAAAACAGTGGCATTTTTTACAGAAAAAAGGTAGGTTTGTTGGAAAATGTGTTAAGAAATTGCATTAAATGGTCATTTTGGGGCAATATTTTGAGTGGGGCCCACTTCCGATTTGGGTCAGGTCAAAGTGGTTTCGGATTGTCCTTGTTAAGAGCTACAATTCGATATGTGGTACACTCAAAACGGATAACGGGTGAATCAGAAATTGATTCTTAAAGTTCTGCCCGTTGGAGCCGCCTGCTGCCAGGCAGCCACCTGCTGAGGCGCCTGCTGCAAGGCAGCCACCTGCTCGCCTGCTGCCCTCAGCCACTGACGAGCACTTTGTCACGGTG